TTCTTTCTTTCTTTCTTTCTTTCTTTCTTTCTTTCTTTCTTTCTTTCTTTCTTTCTTTCTTGTCGTGCGTCTTGAACTCTGGGCCTGGGCACTGTCCCTGAGCTCTTCAGCTCAAGATGAGCACTGTACCACTTGAGCCACAACGTCACTTCCAGTTTTTGGTAGTTAATTGGAAAGAAGAATTGCATGGACTTTCCTGACCAGGCTGGCTTTGAACCCAGATCCTCAGATGTCAGCCTCCTGAGTAGCAAGGATTACAGGCGTTAGCCACCGGCGCCTGGCTTTTTTCTTTCTTTCTTTCTTTTTTTTAAAACATTTTATTAATATTTGTACAAAGAAAGGGGTTTCAATTTCAGAAGTCGAATTCTCCCTCACCATTATCATTCCATCCCTTCTCTCGTTATTGATCTGTTCTTCTGCTTTATCTTGTTGATATATTTACTTGGCATGTTAGTAATTGTGCATGCCAGTGGATTTTTGTGTGTTCACAAGTGTACAGTTAGCACCACCACCCTCAAGCTCAGAATCCTTAATTACCCCCAAAGAAATCTGTCTGTCAGCTGTTGCTCTTCTCTCTTTCCTTTGCCCCAGTCATCCACAGTTGACTGTATGATTTGTTTGTTCTGGACAGCACATAGGATTGACACATCAGTGGCCATTTGTGTCCAGCTTCTTTAGCATCATTGTTTCTGGGTTCTTCATGCTGCAGTGGACATTAGTCTGATGAGGGTATTGGCTTAATGAAGTTTCCAAACTCATGTTTATTTAATAATTTTTTTTTTAGTGCTGGGAATGAAAATCAGAGCCCCATAAATGATAGGCACAAACTATAGCTGGGTGTCCTGCTATAGTTTCTTCGTTCTTATTAGATCCAGGAGATCTTTTTGGAACAGGAAGAACTTTAGAAGTTGTAGAGTCCAATAGACCATCATTTTTATAGATGAAATGATAACGTTTGTTACTTCTTAATGTTTCATCACCTCTCTCAAAATGCATTTTGTCAGCTCCAGAAACACCAGGGAACCCTGCACCTCTCAACTATTCCTTTGCTGATTGTCACTTTATTATGATTTTGGACCCTGCCAGCCTAGTTTTTCCATTTATAGAGGTAAATGGGAAATGGATGGTTGTGCCACTGCCTTGAAAACTAAGGATGATAAAAATGCAAAGTATTTGCTGATTTCTTACCCCAGAACCAGATCACCTACTGCCATGAGCCATTTTGAAGACAAAGAATACTAATTTAGGAGTAACCTACTTAATTTGAATTTCTAATGAGATGAAACTTTTTTGGTTTGAGCTTAGAGTACTGTACTCTAGTGCCCTCTAGTGCCATGCTATAAACATCCTTTCTCTTTCATCTGCACAAAGCCTTTCCTGTGCTTCCATTGATTGTTGATGTACAAGTTGAACGATTCATCATTTTTATTTTTTTTCTTTTTCTTTTGTCGTGGTACTTGAACTGGGCCTGGGCACTGTCCCTCAGCTCTTCAGCTCACGTTAAGTGGTCCACCACTTTAGCCATAGTACCACTTCCAGTTTTCTGGTTGTTAATTGAAGATCAGAGTCTCACGGACTTTCTTGTCGGAGCTGGCTTTTAACCGTGATCCTCAGATCTCAGCCTTCTGAGTAACTAGGATTACAGGAATGAGCCACCAGCACCTGACATTTTTTTTTTTGTGTGTGTGTGTGTTGGTCATGGGTCCTGAACTCTGGGCCTGGCGCTGTCTCTCAGCTCTTCAGCTCAAGGCTAGCATGCTACCACTTAAGCCACAGTGCCATTTCCAGCCTTTTCTGCTTATGTGGTGCTGAGGAATCGAACCAGGGCCTAGGGCCTCAAGCATGCAAGGCAAACACTACCACTGAGCCATCTTTCCAGCCCCTAATTTGTTTTTATATAAAAATTTTGTCCCACACTTGGGGTTTGAACTTGTCCTTGATGCTGTCCCAGAGCTTTTTTTTTGGGGGGGGGGTCCGGTCGTGGGGCCTGAACTCTGGGCCTGGGAACTGTCCCTCAGCTCTTCAGATCAAGGCTAGCACTCTACCACTTGAGCCCACGTCCCGCTTTTTTCTTTTTGCTTATGTGGTGCTGAGGAATCGAACCAAGGGCCTCATGCATGCAAGCAAGAGCTCTACCACTGAGCCACCTTCCCAGTCCCTGTCCCAGAGCTTTTGTGCTCATGGCTAACTCTCTACCGCATGGACCAAAGCTCAGCTTCCAGCTTTTTTTTGGTATGTAATTTGAGATAGTCTCACAGAGCCTGCCCGTTGGCTGTAATCCTAGTTCCTCTAGAGACTGAGCTCTGAGGATCACTGTTCAAAGCCAGCCTGAGCAGGAAAGTCTGAGACACTTATCTCCAATTAACCACGAGAAAACTGGACTTGGTTCTGTGGCTCAAAGTGGTAGAGCACTAGCCTCTAGCGAAAAAGCTCTGGGAGCTCACCCAGGCCCTTCGTTCAAACCCAAAGCTGGCCAAAAGTAAGAGTCTCTAGAAGGTCTTGTCCTGACTGCCTTTGAACTAGCTCCTCAGATCTCACCTTCCTGAGTAGCTAGGAATACAGGCCTCTGAGCCACTGGCTTCTGGCTCTGAGGTTTTAAACAGAAGAGTCCAATTTCTACACTTTGCTGTTCTCTGAGAGCTCCCTGTCCCTGGCAGTCCATATTTACTGTTCTGCCTCCTTTTTACTATATACCTCGTTATTTCTTTCATGCATGTCATTAATGATGTGAGCTTGTCCTCATGCTGTAGATAATCAGGTCTGAGCTCACAGTGAGGATGTTTCAGAAGATAAGTCTAGATCCCTGTAACTATTAAGTCTTCATGGATTTGTGCAAATAGGGGGGTTCATTGTGATATTTTCATACATGCACACAGTGTACCCTACCAACCTTCCTTTCACTGTCTTTATCCCCTCTACTTCTTAAAAGTTTCTGCTACTTTCATTCCTCTGTTTTCATACATGCAGTTAATTGCTTCCACTAATCTCCCTCCTTTGAGCTTTCACCCCTCAGCGTAGATCCTGCTTCTTTTTTCCTTTTTTTCTTTCAGTATGAGTTTTACCATGGTTTTTAGATATGTATATATTTGAATAATAATTGCTTTTTGTATTGCTTCCTCTTTTCTTTACATGAAGAAGTTCTTTTTTTGTTTGTTTGTTTTTTTGTTTAGTTTTGATGGGATTGCTAAAGAGCCTGCAGAATAGTGGTCTTCTGGGCACACCTACCACCAGGGGAGGGATTGGTGGTTAGGTGTTTGCCCTTGACAGTATGCTTAGTTACAGGTTACTTTCAGTCACATGCTTGAAATCTTTTCTGTAAATTGCTAGACTGCCAGCTCAGGTAGAGTAGGGGGAACCACGCCTCTGCTTCTGATCATCCTGCACATTTAGTAGATTTTAAATCAGTACCACTTGAGAGAGGGAAGAAGGGAGGGAGTTGCTAGCTAGGTGCTAGCTAGTTGTGTGACTCTTCCTCATAGTGATTCTTACTGGGTACTCACTTCTTCAAGCTCCTTGGGGTCTGTGAGCCGTAGGCCCTCACCATCCACTGTCTTACAGTTCACCAGATGCTTTTCCAGAAGATCACAACCAGAAGGCAGTGTCTGTCTAATGTGTTTATTTGTGGGTCACATTCACATGTAATTTGATATTAAAAAGTACATAGGTTTCAAGATCATTCATCAAGATTGCTAACATTTCCCTTTTTGAAATTCTCTTCCTCCCCTTTGACCCCGTGTTTGGCTTTTCTCGGTGTTTGGCAGGGAAAGAGAAATGGAGGTAGGAACGTGAGTCAGCAAGATGAGCAGAGGTAGGAAGCAAGCGGAAGAAGGCAAGCTGGTGGAGGTCTGGGCCCAGCGTTCGCGCACAGCAGGGCTCTACAAGTCTGTGGTGCACCGGATTTATTTCCAAAGAAGTTTCATCAATTTTACTTTTCTCTTGGCAGTTGATGGAAAAGGTTGAACATTTTCTTACTGAAATTGGAAAGTCGTAGCCCTAGAAATTCTAGCTCACACCCTCTCAATTTATTTACTTAAGAACTTGGAGGTACTAGATCAAATGTTTTTGTATATTTTATGTGATTAATGGCTCTTTTTTATTTTCCAGTATATATTTGGAGATTTTAGCCCTGATGAATTCAATCAGTTCTTTGTGACCCCACGCTCTTCAGTTGAGGTAAGACAAAACTAAGCAAATTCATATGTAGATATAATTCATGGTTATTTATTTATTTATGTCTGTTACGGGGTTTGAATTCATGGCCTGGGCACTAACCCTGAACTCTTTTTGCTGAAGGCTAGTGCTCTGCCACCTGAAGTCACAGCACCACTTCTGGTTTTCTGGTGGTTAATTGGACATGAAAATCTCATGGACTTTCCTGCCTGAGCTGGCTTTGAACTGCAGTGCACAGATCTCAGCCTGCTGAGTAGTTAGGATGACAGGCGTGACCCACCGGAATCTGACTTGTTTGTTGTTGTTTTCCTTTTAATGAGTTCTAATACCCAGAAATGCTGCCTATGAATAGCAGAAATGGCTGAACCCACTAATTAGGCCTAATTGATGTTAATATTTTGCTATATTTCTTTAGACTTTTCTTTTTTTCTGGCTCCCCCCCCCTTTTTTTTTTTGGCCCAGTCCTGGGGTTTGAACTCAGGGCCTGGGCACTGTCCCTGGGCTTCTTTTGATCAAGGATAGCACTACACCACTTGAGCCACAGTGCCAATTTCAGCTTTTTCTATTTATGTGGTACTGAGGAATTGAACTCAGGGCTTCATGTACTTTACCATTAAGCCACATTACCATCCCCTTTTGTTTTGATGCCTATCCTGAGGCTTGAACTCAGAGCATGGGTTCTATCCCTGAGTTTTTATGCTCAAGGGTAGCACTCTACCAATTGAGCCACAGTTTAAGTCTCCTGGACTTCCTGCCCAGGCTGGCTTCAAACCACAATCCTCGGCTCTTAGCCTCCTGAGTGCTGGGATTACAAGGCATGAGCCCACTGCTTTAGACTTTTTTGTTGTTGTTGGTCATGGGACTTGAACTTAGGGCCTGATAGTTCCTGAGCTGTTTTGCTTTAGGCCAGTGGACTAGGAGCCATAGTCCACTTCGATTTTTTAGATGGTTTATTGCAGGTAAGAGTCTCATGGACTTTCCTGCCTGGACTGGCTTTGAACTAAGATCCTCAGATCTCATCCTCCTGAGTAGTTAGGATTACAGATGTGAGCCACAAAGCCCCTGGTTTAGACATATATATATATATATATATATATGATTTTATTATTAAGGTGAGCTTTGGACTTTTTAAGGACTGTTTCAAAACATTATTTATACACATTTGGAGTCTCCATTAGCCTCCCTTTCCTGCTAAGTATGTTCTTGGTTTTGGTGTTTGCCTGTTATTACACAGATGATTTGTTTTATGGGCTTTAAAAAGTCACAGAAATGATACACTGTATTCAGTATAGTTTAACCTAATACCATTATCATGTTTGTCTGCACTTAAACATTTAACCTTGTTCTTTTATTTTAATTGCTCAATACCATTGATCAAATGTACACAGTTTAGTTACATGTTTTCCTATTGAGGATCATTTAGGTTTCTGGTTCACTGTTTAGAAATGTTTCAGCAAGCCAGGCACTGGTGTGCTCACGCCTGTAATCCTAGCTGAGATCTGAGAACCATGGTTCAAACTCAGCCCAGGCAGAAAAGGCTATGAGACTCTTACCTCCAATTAACCACCAGAAAACTGGAAGTGACCAGTGGCTCAAAGGGGTAGAGCACTTGCCTTGAGCAAAAGAGCTCAGGGACAGTGTCCAGTTGAAGCTCCATGACTGACCCCTCCCCCCAAAAAATCAGCAAAAGTCTTTGAAGAGTGGAATAGGGAGGAAGGGAATTGTACTCTGCCAGGAACAGGCATCTTTAGTTTTGCTGTCCAAGGGGTTTCCCATTCACAGAGCATAAGAGTTTTCTGCTTCATTTTAAAAAAGCTTCTCACTAATTCTCAGTGCTAACATATTCAGGATTCTTGATAATAAATGCATTCTTATTGTTTTAATTCATTTTCCCCAGATTATAAACTGTTGAGCACTCTTTTGCTTTAGTTTTATGTCATGGACTCTCCAGGTTTTCTCTTCTGTGAATTACCTGATCTGTATCCCCATGCTTTCATAGTTTTTTTGTTTTTTTTTTGTCGGTCGTGGGGCTTGAACTCTGGGCCTGGGCGTTGTCCCTCAGCTCTTGAACTCAAGGCGAGCGCTCTACCACTTGAGCTACAGCGCCACTATCCCCATGCTTTCAAATCAAGTGGTTTGTCTTTTTCTTACTAACTCATAAGATTCATAAGTGTGTGCGCGTGCACACACATCACTTCTGGGGCTTGCACTCAGCGTCCGGGCACTGTCCCTTAGCTTTTTTGCTCAAGCCTGGAGCTCTACCACTTGAGCCACAGCTCCACTTCTGACTTTTTGATGGTTAATTGTAGATAAGAGTCTCAGGTACTTTCTAGACTGGCTTTGAACCACAGTCCTCAGTTCTCATCCTCCTGAGTAGCTTACAGGTATGAATCACTGGTGCCCATCTTACTCAGATTATTTTTGAGATTGGGTCTCACTTTTTGCCCAGACTGGCTGGACCCTGATATTTATGCTTCCTGCGACAGGCACATGTCACCACACCCATCTTTTTCAGTTGAGATCAGATCTTGTCAAGAGCACTTTGTTCTCATATGGACAATGAAACTTTGGGCTAAGAGTAAGGTGTGTCTTGAGGTTACAGTCATTTAAACCACTTTAAAAAAATATGTAATTTTATTGTTGTTAGGGTAATGTACAGAGGTGTTACCATTTCATAAGTCAGGTAATAAGTACATTTCCTTTCTGACAACGTCACCCCTTCTTTGCTGTCCCTCAGTTTCCCCCTCCTGTTCCTGCTCACAAGTTGCATAGTTCATCTACATAGTGTCTACTGAATACCATGCCTGCATTTAAACCATTTGTGCCTAGAAACAGTACCATTTCCTGCCTCCAGGGGGCACTGTAGCATCATGGATAAGAGAAGCAGGCGTTCTTTATTACTACATAAGGTGCACAGCCGTGCTTCATGCCTTCTTGAGACACTGCTGTGCCTGTTGCCTTGTGTGCACACGTCCTTTTCTGAATCTGCTAACAAATGCTGCACTCAATGAATGCGCTCCTGCAGGAGGAGCTTAGCCAGGTGGGGCCCACAAATGCTTAATCTGGGTCCCTGGGCTGAGTGCAGGAGTCCAATTCCTGAGGATTTTGGGGACCCGGTGGTTTTCTTTCTTTCTTTCCTCCCTCCCTCCCTCCCCTCCCTCTCTTTCTTTCTTTCTTTTTTTTTTGGGGGTCCGGTCATGGGCCTGAACTCTGGGCCTGGGCGCTGTCCCTCAGCTCTTCAGCTCAAGGCTAGCGCTCTACCCCTTGAGCCACACTGCCACTTCCGGCTTTTTTCCTTATGTGGTGCTGGGGAATTGAACCCAGGGCCTCAGGCATGCAAGGCAAGCGCTCTACCACTGAGCCACCTTCCCAGCCCGACCCAGTGGTTCCTTAGCTTCCTGTTTGTTAATTGTTTCTGGGGAGAGAAATTATGGGTTACTTGGAGAGATGAAATTCTGCCTCTGTGATTATTACATTGGTTCCCTAATAGTCTGTTGAAGACATTAGTTGAGGAAGCCACAACAATAGCAATTCCCAAACAGTAGAGGCCATGAGAACCATCGAGGAGCCTCTAGGCCTGGCCAACTCTGGGTGGGTCTGAGCCCTTACAGGCCTTGGTGCTATGTGGATTTAAGGCCGCACCAGGATTTGTTGGGCAGTGGTGAGGCTGGAACTCAGGGCTCAGGTGTGCACATGCTTGGCCAGTACTCTACCATGAGCTACTTCCCAGCTGTTGATTTTTTTTTTGGGGGGGTGGGGGTCCAGTCGTGGGGCCTGAACTCTGGGCCTGGGTGCTGTCCTTCAGCTCAAGGCTAGCACTCTACCACTTGAGCCACAGCACCACTTCCGGCTTTTTTCTTTTTGCTTATGTGGTGCTGAGGAATCGAACCCAGGGC